GAGAGAGAGAGAGAGAGAGAAGGGTCAGGGGAACCTCAGCCTTGCTGCTGGCTGCCGCCAACTGTGTGTGTGTGTGTGTGTGTGTGTGTGTGTGTGCGTTGCCGCTTTCAGTCGAGTTTCTCTGAGGTTTCTATCACTTGCTCATGCTAATGGAACCACAGGGCGGCCTCCAGGATGGCTTCAGAAAGACCTTGGAAAGCTCGGAAACCTTTGACTTTGCACCCCCTTTAGAGGGCCGGCATGACTGTCTTATGTGAATCCGTGTCTCATTCATGGTCTCAGACCCAGGCCCCAAGGTCAACAGCCAAAGAAAACGGACCTGTTGCCAAAAGCGGAGTCAGACCATGCCAAAGAACAACTCTGCAGGGGGTCATCGCACACCGTGTCTGCCTCCTCGGAAGCCCTCCTGGCATGCCTGGAGGAGCCAAACAGGGCGGCCACCAGAATTGCCACCCTCCTGTGTCACCACTTATCCAAGTTCTCACAGTCCACACAGCTCACTGGGAAGTTCTCCCTCGGCAGGTTCTTGCAAAGGCTGGCAGGGTCTTCGCTTCCCCTCGGAGAATCTGCAGCTCCCTCAGCTGTCCCTGAGCTCGTCAAACCGGTGATCATCATTATCTGGCTATTCTCACAGCAGCTACAAAACGCCATCAGACCTCGCTCCCTGCCATCTTTCTCCCCGAGGCTCACATTAGACAGCCTTTGCATGTATTTCTTCTTGGTACCAGAATGCCCAGCATAGGTCCTCAGTAGATGCTGCCATGACACTGGTGAGATGAGCAACATCGGAATCGTTTCCACATCCTTATTTAGCACACCGGAACCAAGGAGTCAGAAAGACTCCCGGTAATCTTGGCCTTTTCTTTTACTATGCAACCGTGAACCACTTGCTTAGGAGCTTGAACCTCCGCATCAGTAAAATGGGGTTTAAAAATAAGCACCTACCTCGGAAGGCTGTTTTGAGGATGACGGGAAATCATCGAGGCAAAATACTTAGGACACTGCAACTGAGCGGCAAGAAAGTGGCAGCGATGATTGCACGCCCACAAACAAGCCCCGAGGGCCAGCTGGGCAGGGCCATTAACCCCAATTTACAGAAAAAACTGGCGGCGAACAGAGGCTCAACACCCGGCGCGGACACCGTGTAACTGCGTGCGGAGGGGCCGGGCAGGACCCCGGGACTCCCGCCTCGGAGGCCTCTGCGAGCGACGCCGACCCGAGGTGAGGAGGGGTCCCCAGCCCTTCCTTTTCCGAAGCCAAGCTCGGCGTTGGGGTGGCTCTCTTCCCGAAGCGCTCGAGGCGGGCGGGGGTTCACCTGAGCCGAAGGGCTGTCTGGTGCCACTACAGCGCCCAAGCCCTGCTCTCCCACCCACCCGTGAGGGGGTGGTGGGGCCAGGTGAGGGGGTCACAAACCATCCAAACCCCTCCAGCTCCGGGGCGGGGCTGGAAAACGGGGCGGAGCTAGACGAAGCGGGGTGTCATGGGAAATTAAAGGGGGCTAGGCTCGGTGCTCAGCCTGGGTGGGGAAGAAGATCCTCACCTGAAACGGCCAGGCTAAGTGTTTTGACTTCGCTGGAACAGCCCCTAGATCCGCCTTTCCGTAGGGGCCGGGCAAGGGCCGGGGGAGGGGCTGGCAGGCACCGATTCTGCCCAGGGTCCGATCTTCCGGCTTATCCCGGAAGCTGTTAGAACCAGTAACAGGAAGTCCCGCCTCTGCGCCGTATACTGATGACGCGAGGCTACGTAAGGCGGGGTGACGTAGAGGCATCTTTAAATAAAAGGCACCGGTTTCCCAGCGGAAGGAGGGGCGGAGTCATTGTTGGCGGGATCGGGCCCGTCCCAGGGCGGGGTCACGACGAGTGGGCGGGGCCTGCGGTGGTGCAGCTGTGAGGGGCGTGGCCCAGGCGAGGAGGCGTGGGTTGTGGGGAAATGCTTGGGAAAGGGGCGAGGCTGTGTGTCGGGAAGGCTTCCGCGGGGCTGGCGCTTCCGAAAGGAGCTGGAGCAACAGGCTTCCTCCTTCCCAGCCCTGTTCTTCCGGCTTTGCACTTTTAGTCTCCCCGGTTGATTGCGTCCATTACCGCACACCGCGCTCCGAGTTAGCGGGATCTGTCAGAACTGGTTTCTCTGTGACCTTCTAGAGCTGAGTACAGGACAAGGGCACAATTTAGCCAAAACGCAGTGTCCCAATGGTCCGGCCCCAGGTAACGTGGAACCGTGATAAATTGAGCGGGAAACCCTTAGGGGAGGCGGAGCACAGCGCTGACACCCCACAGGCTTAAACCAGAACCAGACTCGCTGCCATCGGGTTGATCCTGACTCAGCAACTCTGGGACAGGGTAGAACTGTCCCTGTGGGTTTCGGACTCTGTAGAAAACCTCATCTCTCTGCAGCTGAGCGGCTGTTGATTTCAGAGTGCTGACTACGATTAGACTCTCAGCCACTACACCACCAGGACTCCATCCACACAGGCTTAGGACAGAATAAAATTAGCCCCCAAAAGAGGGGGAAATGTTTAACTTCCCCAAACGTAATCAGACTTAGGCAATTTTGTTTTTTTGAAAACGTACAGGGATCGGTGTTTGGTGATTTTTTTCAGTGTGAACGATCAGTGCAGACAATGAGAACGCGTACTCCCAAGAGCTCGGTGAGTTTTCACCAGCTGAGCACGCCTCTGGCTCCAGCCCCAGATCAAGACGTAGAAGATTACCCCGGAATTCCCCGGGCCCACTTACAGCCACTAGTGCCCATTGAGGAACCACTGGCTACTTTTGATCAACAGTATGATTTGGTTCCAGTATACCTTTTGAGTGTTAAGGTTTAGTGTGTTTGATGTTGAAAACATAACTTGAGAGGCAGGCAGGGCACCAGAGTCCAGTTCGACAAAAGAGCAGAAATCTCCCAAGCTGAGTTCCAAACAAAGAGAACAGGCAATGCAAGGGCTCTCAATACATATTTGTTGAGTGAATAAATAAACCACTGTTAATGCTTTTGTATAATAATCGTCGCCGTGTGTAGTAGGAGCTTACTCATATTCACAAGGAGCCCTGTGGGGTCCTCATGCCGCTGACTACCAGAGTCGTAGATAACTGGTTAGAGCCCACCAGTTGTTCTAAGGGAGAAAGATGAGGCTGTCCACTCCTGGGTGTGGTCTTGGTTTGGTATCTCTCATGAGGTAGCTATTATTATACCTATTTTACAGGTTTGGAAGCTGTCCAAATGATACAATTGGTGGTACGGCTAAAAGTTAACCCAGCTCTGCCTTTTACATCTGTGTATATATGTGTATAGGATACCCGGTGATGTAGTGGTTATGAATCTGGTTTGGATCCAAATGGCAGTTCCAAACCACCAGCCACTCGGAGGGTTCTCTCCTCCGTAAACAGTTACCATCTCAGAAACCCACAGGGGGTTCACTATGAGTCAGCATTAACTCGGTGGCAGTGAATTTGGTTTGTTTTTTTACATTTTAATGATGTATGTGTTCGGAAAGGCACCTGGTGGCAATTCCTAGGAAGCACTGAGTTACTAACTACTAGGTTCAAAGTTGAAACCCACTAGCTGTTCCTCTGGAAACTGATGAAGCTGCGCTGCCTGCTCCCATAGACTTAGAGCCATGGAAACTATATAGGGTCACTATGCGTAGGAATCGCCCCCACAGCATTGGCGTTAGGGTAGGCATGTATGGGGGCCCGATGGTAACTGAAAGGTTAATGGTCTGAGCCTACCTAGGAGCCCCGGGAGCCCCTAGAGCAGGCATCCTGCCCCCGTACAGATGGTGGTTGGCCTGTGTTGTTGAATGGGCTCGATAGAATAAAGTCGGTCTGCACCATAGGGGTTCACAGGCTGTAATCTTTTGGGGAGCAAGCTGCCAGCTTCCTTCTATGGAATAGCTAATGAGTTTGAACCATCAACCTTTTCGTTAACAGCCAAATGCTTCACCGCTGTGCCATCAAACCCCAGTGGGCAGTTCCACTCTGTTATATAAGGTCTCTTTGAGTGGACATCATTAGGAAGGCATCTGACAATGCAATTGTAGGCAGTCTTTGGACAGTAATAGACAGTTCTCCCCCACCGTGTATGAGGGAGTTAGCTCCTCTGCCCTCTGCCCCATACCAAAACCCCAGAATGCCAGTCCCTTATAGAAAATGGTGTAGTATTTGCATGTAGCCTCCACACTCCACCCCTGTATAAATCTTCTCTGTATTACTCATGATACCCAATGCACTGTAAATGCTATGAAAACAACGCTGTACACGTCCTCTTAGCCTTGGGAGGTTTTGTGGGTTTTTTTTACCACTTGAACATTTTTGATCCGAGGTTAGTTGAATCCTCTGACGTGGAACCTGTGGATACCAAGGGCCAGCTGTCCTAACTCTATACTGTGAACCTTTCCCCGTGCCATGAACCATCTTTATTACGTTACACTGTAAGTTCTAGCTAGCCACCTGTTACCTTCCACATCGCACCATTGCCTCTTTGCTGCTGCTGGTTTGTTAACGACTCTGCTCTGGAGGATGGCGTTTGGAATATTTCCGTTCCTTCCCTTTCTGGCAGTCCTTTGGTGAACATCTTTTTAGGTAGATCCTTGTACACATCCACGATCCGTTCCCCTGGCAAACATGGCTGAAACTGGAGCTGTTGACTCAAAGAATGTTCCTTTTTTTTTTTTTCCCCCTTTTTGCTCCTTGGCACCACATTGTCCTCCAGAAAGGTTGTCCTTTAGGGGGATACATCACAGCATTATGCGTCACAGAGAAGGGCAGTACAATTCATCCTTGAACAGGTTTGATCATTCTGGTGTCTCATACAATAAAGCAGGCAATTACTATCCTGGGAGGCATGCAAGCCCCCTGATAGCAGATAACAGCCTACGTCATAGAGAGGGGTTGTAACACAGGCAATACAAGCAATAGGAGGGGGATGACCTAGGGGTGAACGTGCAATAGTAAGAGGAGGGAATAGGGGGGCATGTGTGGCAAGATAGTAGCCTAAGCTTAGTCATCTTAGAGTGGTCCTGGGCTTGCCTATGGGCACTGCTTCAAGGGAACAATAACAGAAAGGAATGGGCCCTATTTGGGGTGAGTCAGACTATACAGTCTGGCCGCTCTAAATGGCTGATGTTAAGGAGAATAACCTCTGACCTATTTTCGCTGCCTAACGAACAGTCATTCTCAAGCTAAGTCTGGCATAGATTTTGGGGAGACAACTTAAGAGAAATCCTTCTGTTCCTCACAAACATTAATCCATTAACCCAACACCAGTCCACAAAATCCCCCACCTCACAAAACAGAGGCAATGATGCCGACTGCAGGAGGAAAGCTGAGTCAGTGAACGAATAAGCATCTCAGCACTAGCAGGGGTCTCCACACGGCTGCTCCAGCACCCAGGGCTGCATCGGGATAGGTCCATGTGGCTTCTCCTTGGGGATGTCTTGTAGGAAGTCAATCTTGCAAGCTGAAGCAGGGAACTGCTAAGGCAGCTGCACCCTGGTGCGACCATCACAAAGCAAGAGACCCAGAACTAGAAAGGTGAGGCTCACCACCCATTTATCCCTCCACCTTTCAATTAGCTCCACATATGTTTATCGGCCAGGTTGGCACAATTAACTAACTCAGGGACCCTCTTGACACTGTTGGATATGCACTGAACTGCTAGTTGCACAGTCAGCAGTTCAGACCCAGCATTGCTCCATAGGAAAAAGACGAGGCTCCCTGCTCCCCTAAAGATGTTCAACAGAGGAAACCCTATACAGTAGAGTTGGCTGGTTGGTTGGAAAGCTTGTTAAGGGCAGACTGCCTCATCTCCCACAAAGCACCTTGGGGGTTCGAACTGCTGACCTTTTGATTAGCAGTAAACCGCATGAAGCACTGCTTATCTGTGCCCTTTGTCCTTGTTTCTTCTTTTTAAGTTTCACTAGAAGTCCTTTTGTCAAATATTCTAGTACTACCCTGTAGCCACAGCCCTCTTCCCTTCTTGGCAGGAAATTTCTGGTAACCCTCCTTCGCAGCCTTTTCCTCTTCCTCTCCCACCGTGTAGTGTTGTCTTGTTTGCTGGGCATGCCTTCCAGCCTGGTTTTTTACTCCCTAACAACAGTCGTGGAGACCTTTTGGAGTCCATACATGGGCTGGCCCCTTGGGGAGGCCCACCCAGTTTCTCCTGCTGTGAGTAAGGGGCTGGATTGAAGCCCGCAAGGCCGGCTCTGTTTAACCCTTCCCGGGTTTTGAGTTGCTCTCAGCCTTCTGCTGCCAGCAGTGCCGTGATGACCCTGCCCCGTGCACCTGCCTGCTGGGGTCTGGGGAGCAAGGTTTCAAGAGACTGCCAAATGCACTCCTCCTTTCCCACATGCTCATCCCTCCAGACCCGACAGGCGTTACGTATTGACAATCTGTACGCAGTTTCCCAATCTGGTGGCAGACCGGGAGCTCGTTGTCATCGTAGTTTGCAGTCCCCTGAGGGCTGGTCAGGTTGGGCATCGTCATTCAATGAGGCGACAAATAGGTCCACGCTCACTCAGAGGGTCCACCCTACCAGGGCTGGCGTGAGCGCCCAGTCGACGCTCCCTGTCCCCACTGATCAAGGAAATGGAACATTTCCATGGCAGCTATTGGTGCCAATCTTTTGCCTTTAATTGTGTTGGTTGATTATTATTATTATTAATTTTTAATCGTTTTATTAGGGACTCATACAACTCATCACAATCCATACGTACATCAATTGTGTCAAGCACATTTGTACATTCATTGCCCTCATCATTCCCAAAATATTTGCTCTCTACTTAAGCCCCGG